AAAACTCATAAGAAAGTGAAGAGGAAAAGTTCATAATTTAAAAGACAAAAGCCTTAAATCTAGTTTTTAAAATATTTTGATGCAGCTATAGGAAGTTTAGGTTTCCAATGTATTTAGTGAAAGAATACTGTTGCAGTGGTATACTATTTTGGAAAGCTCGTTAATTCGGTCTAGCTTAGTATCTTTGGATATATAATCAGATTGGAAGATTTTCAGGTACTTCCAATTCCCTATTCCTAATTTCTTGAAGTCTCATGGAATGACCTGATTCTTCTCTTCTCATTACAAGATAAAAACATTGAAGAACTGCATTGAAGAACTGCATTGCTAAGGCACATGAAAAAAACAGGTGCTTGGTGACAGCCAGCATGGCTTCACTAAAGGGAAATCCTGCCTGACCAATTTGGTGGCCTTCTATGGTGGAGCTACGAAATTGATGGACAGGGGTAGAGCAGTTGACGTCACCTACCTGGACTTGTGCAAACCGTTCTCCACTGTCTCACACGACATACTTGTCTCTAAATTGGAGAGACATCAATTTGGTAGGTGGACCACTTGGTGGATAAAGAACTGACTGGATGGCTGCACACAAAGAATTGTGGTCAATGGCTCAATGTCCAGCTGGAGACCAGTAACGAGTGGTGTTCCCCAAGGATCGGTGCTGGGACCGGTCTTGCTCAACATCTTTGTCAGTGACATGGACATTGGGATTGAGTGCTCCCTCAGCAAGTTCGCCAATGACGCCAAGCTGTGTGGTTCAGTTGATACGCTGGAGGGAAGGAATGCCATCCACAGGGACCTCGACATGCTTGCGAGGTGGGCTGATGTCAAACTTATGAAGTTTAACCAAGCAAAGTACATGGTCCTTCACCCTGGGTTAGGACAATCCCAGATGCAGCTACAGGTTGGGCAGAGAAGAGATTCAGAGCAGCCCTGTGGAGAAGGATTTGGGGGTGCTGGTCGATGAGAAAATGAACGTGAGCCAGCAGTGCGCGCTTGCAGCCCAGAAAGCCAAGCGTATCCTGGGCTGCATCAAAAGGAGCGTGACCAGCAGGTCGAAGGAGGTGATCCTGCCCCTCTACTCTGCTCTTGTGAGACCTCACCTGGGTTATTGTGTGCAGTTTTGGTGTCCTCAACATAAAAAGGACATGGAACAGTTGGAACAGGTCCAGAGGAAGGCCACGAGGATGGTGGGGGGCTGGAACACCTCCTGTTTGAACATAGGCTGATAAAGTTGGGGCTGTTCAGCCTGGAGAAGAGAAGGCTGTGTGGAGACCCCATAGCAGCCTTCCAGTATCTGAAGGGGGCCTATAAGGATGCTGAGGAGCTACTCTTCATCAGGGACGGTAGTGGTAGGACAAGGGGTAATGGATTAAAACTTTTTTCAACTTTTAAAAGGAAAACAAGAGGTATCTCAAATTTGATATATGACAAAAAATCTGAATGGAAATAAGGTTGCAATGAAGACATATAAATGTAGACATTTACATGTGTACTGATATATTTAAGTTTCTATCAGAGATCTACTGAACAAAAATTACAGAACAGTTTAATTCAAGTGAATATACAGGGATAAGTTAGCTAAACAGTTTTGAGATTTTTTAGGATGTTGATTGTATAATCTGAGCACAAGTTTCCACCTGTGGTGCCATCTCAGAGGTCAGCACTGGCAAGTCACAGGACCTAAATGGTGGTGTCTTTCAGCTGATGGAACTTCAAATTCTGGAGCACTTCAGATGGTATTGAATGCCTATGCTTAGATATCTGCATCAAGCCCTAGATTTGTATTAACTTTGAGGGAAATTAGACATCAGCTCACATTGAAGACACCTAATTTTAGGTTATGTATACTGAAATGAAATTCCTAGCCATGTCTTTCACATGAAGCATTTGCCTGATAGACTCTGACCCAATGCAACTGGAAAACTTTTAATAATCTATTGAGAAGTATGCAATGCAACGCTTTGAAAGCTGAAATGCTTATGCTAACCAGGAATTTTCTGTTATTTCCTCCTGAATGTAAAGGAATATGTGAGTCAATGGTCATGTGAGGCAAATAAAAACAAAAATAACACTGAAAGGTCTGATTCTTTTACCTCAACCAAAACCTTCTGAAAAGATAATGTTAAGAAGAAAAAGTAAAGTCAGATTAAGCGATTAAATTATTTTTATATATCCTCTGAAAACATAATGCAATATAGTTTCATGAGAACATTCTCACTCTAAGGCTTAAAATCCTCTTAAAATCCACTTATATCACTTGCTTGTCTACCCTCTCTCCTGCATTCATAAGCAGATGTAATGACCAAGATAAGCACATCAATTTTGATTCTGATAGAGAAACCATTCATTTCATGATGACCCTGGATCTTAAAGGCAATTGCCCACTTATGTTATTGGAGTGGTTAAGCACAGAAGAGATTTTCTTGATACTATTTTCTCTGTATTACCTTTGACACCTTTATATCTGGAAAGTTTCAGGAGTTTCCTGTAATGATCCATTCTGGACTTAGAAGGAAATAAGCTTTCTCTTAGCATCTCTAGCTTCTGGGTCCTGTTTAAATTGAAAAACTGAGTCGACAAAAAAGGTTGAAAAATGTTCAACAAGAAATGTCTAGACAAGTGAAAATCTCAAGGAAGCCTCCTTGGGAGACCAGGTCCAAATATGAATGAAGATTTGGGAAAGATCAGCAAATAGTTTTAGAGTTGTAGTAAATATATTTAAAAGTAACAGTCTTGAGAAGAAAGTCAAAATTAAGTCAGATTTGATTTGAAGAATTTCAAAGGAAAACCACTATAACTGTACAAGACCTAACCTATTTCTACTTTAACCAATCTGATTTTATAAAATTGAAAAAATTGCCTCACAAAACTCTGATTATAATTCTCCATTTTTTTCTGAAATGGGATCTTTCAGTTAAATCCTAATCTTTGGATAGGTTTTAGGGGATTTTTGTTGTGTATTTCCTCATGGCATTGACAACTCAATTAAGCAGTATGATTATAAATACTCAGGAGTGAAGCATGTCATTCAGTTTGTCTATAAAGTATATGTAAACCCACAAAAAACACACAAAAGCAGTGAGCAAATAATTCACCTTAATTATTTTAACACATAATTTCATCAGCAATTACTTGTATTTGTGCCTTAGAAAAAGACATTTCATCAATCCCAATTTGCAGAAACAATTTTCTGCTTCTTTAATTCCATAGAAACCACCTGCTTGGGAAACAAATTCAGATTATCTAGCCAGAAAATTATAACAAATATCCCTCACACCACTATATCTGTGTTTTCAGTCCACTATTGTAATCTATAACAAGTGGCGCATAGAAAAATATAGCATTAAATGCATGAGCAGTATAATTGACTTTTACCTAAGCAGTCTTCAAAAACCAGACACATTTGGTGCAGTCAGTAAGATAGTCTCTTTCAAGCCATTACTGATGGGGCTTGTATGTTGTTTGATCGGAAGACTTTTTGTATTTAATAAAATGTTTTTCCTCTCATTGTCTCAGCTTCCTTATTAATCAGACCTCAGCATATTTTGCCACAGACACAACTTATGCAATAGTTCCTTTTACAAAGAGATATGAATGTGAAGGATTCTTTTTCCCTTTTACATTAGTTACCCTTCTGTTGAAAGTGATAGCTTTCAGCTTGCCAGGAAACATGCATTTTGATTTCTTGCTATTGTATAATAAGCTTGTCATTACAAGGAGCAGCTTGTGCAGCTGTGTTCAGGTGGCACTGCACGGTGACCTGTACTTCCCTTGCCAATCAGGACAATGAGGAGAGAAAACAGATAACAGTCAGAATGCTGCAGATATTGAGGTAAAGAATCACAAAGTGAATTGTTTTTGGCAAAGATAATCTTTTCCCTTGATTTAACAGCCAAAATATGGCTAAAATTTTCCACCACCTTGTCACAAGTTCCATGGGAAGTGACGTCTGAGCTCTCGATACAGAGCATTGGGTACACCTTTCCAGATTTCTCTGAAAAGACTAGAGGCTGTTTAACTTAGACTTACATTGTGGTCATCTCAGTGAAACAATATTTATAGAATAAAGTTAGACAATGTTCAAAACTGCTGTACACAATCAAGGTAAATGTATGAACTTGCTATTAAAAAGAAAAAGAAATAGTTACAATTTCTTGAAAGCATTTTGTGTAGTGAAACCACTCTTAAAAACCACTCAGATGTTTCTATTGCTCAGCATCATTATCTAACACATAGGATGATCATATATGATAGTAAATTTGAGTAGGTAATGCTTATAGTAAATATGGAAGATGTATAGTGCTACCTACCATGAATTTCCTCATACTTTGTAATATAAACTGGCTGCATAGAAAGAATAGCACAAACAAGTTTGAAACCATGCTTCAGAAAAGTAAGCATGATGCTGCACTAACACATCACCATGAAATCAATACTGAGACTCTTGTAAAAGATTCTCAAGAAACATTCATTCTGTGAAACAAGTTGCTTCCATAAGGTATCTGAGAAGAGCTAATCCTGCATTATTCGTTGTTTGACTAAGGACTGATGAACACACAAAGTAGATCATAGACGTGGGGAAAATAATGTGTCAAGAAGTGGTTTTCACAAGTGACTGCTCTTCATGAGATCAAAATACTTATCCTCATTGGAAAAGCAAAGGGAAATAGGACAAGATTAATTAAGGTAACCATGGGTTTTATTCAGTTAGTTATAAAATTTCAATTTGTAGAAACCAAACTGAGAATGCATAACTAGTTGAACTCAATGTTTTGTGCCTCTAAAAGAATGAATTAAGACCTGTAGGGTGTAACTGTGTTTAGAAGAACTATTATGTTGCTATGTGGTACAGGGACAACCCTGATTAGCCTTGATTAGTACCAATGCACAAATGTCAAGGTAGGGTTTAGCTCTCTGGCATAAGATTTTCCATACTTATGGGAGTGAGGAAAAGCTTTTCTAGAAGTAATGAGAAACAAGCTACTATTCCACATTTTAAAATGAAACTGAGAACTAATCTCCTCTAAATTAAGTGTTCATTTACTTTTTTCTTTTTTAAATGCTGTTCAGTGCAGGAAGACATGCAGATTGAGAAGCCTGTAAGTATGCTGGCTGGCTGGGTGCCAATTGCTCAAAAAAAAACCTTATATGAAGATTTAGTAGTTTCAGCTTATATACTGTTACATGTTTTTAGTGATGCCTGAGATAATAACTATGATATAATTGAAATGTGATGAATACAATTATGTTTAGCTGACTTCCTGTACACAGATGATTTCTAACTCAATAGATAAACATTCAGTTGTTAGAAAGCAGACATATAATGAGAAGAAAAATACCATGTCTGGTCCTACATCTGAGAGTATGGAATGCCAGCACAGGAAAAACTAAAAAGAAGATATTTTACTAACATAATAAGTGAAAAAAGATAATAAAAACCATGGAGCTGTGTTCAATAATAGAGAGAAGATAATTCTCAGTTATTGTGTGAAAAAAACTTTTCAGTTGTACTGGGACACTACTTTGATGTGTTCCCATGTGAGGTCTGAATTTTCATTTAATTCCCAATAGGGTTTAATTTTTTTCTATTTTTTTTTTTCAAATTAAATATTGGATGATATTGAAGTTCATCTAATTTTCTGTAAAGACCTTTTAATTTTCAGTCTATTTCTGGCTTTGTGTAGCTATTAATCATATTCTACCTGAGAAAAGCTGTGACTTCCTCACTTCATCTTCCTCAGCCAAACTTTGAACATGGTTTATTCATAAAACACATTATACATTTTCTGCTAAAGAAACAAAAAACACCTGGAAGACAGTTAGAAGATGACAGAGATGATATGGAATAATAAAAAATATGTCTGAAAGAGATCTTAAGGGTTTATTTGATGCATTCTCTGCCTTATTCCAGGATCAATTATCATCTCTCAAAAACATTTGTCTAGCTTACTGTTAGAGAAATCTCTGCTGATTGTCATTTGAAACGTCTCTGAACTCTATTAAAAGTTTCTTTTTGGCATTTACCCAAAATCTGTGCCTTGAGACTTATGCCAAAAATTTTAAGGTTGAATCCATAACTGATGCTCAGAACATTACATTCATTTATTTTATGAATCTCTTTTACACACTGCAAGATTTCTTTAATATAAAAATGTCAGGGAATATACTAGGGAGAAGAAGGTCAGCCCATCTTATTTTTCCGCATATACTCCTTCGTAACCAGTTCTTATCGGCTAGCCTTAGATACAGAATAGTTAGGTGTACCTTTGGACACAATAGAGATAATTTTAGTATTACCTCTTTCAGTCCTTTCTAAATTTTTTCTTGTTCTTTCACTAGATGAGACTGTTTCCAGATTTCCTGCTGTTGCTTACTTTTTCCTTGACATTATAGAATCATAGAACAGTTAGGGTTGGAAAGGAACTTAAGATCATCTAGTTCCAAAACCCCTGCCACGAGCAGGGACACTTCACACCAGATTATGTCACCCAAGGCTCTGTCCAGCCTGGTCTTGAACATTGCCACGGTTGGAGCATTTACCACTTCTCTGGGCAACCTGTTCCAGTGCCTCACTACCCTTACCGTAAAGAACTTCTTCCTTATATCCAATCCAAACTTCCCCTTTATAAGTTTTAACCCATTACCCCTTGTCCTATCACTACAGTCCCTGATGAAGAGTCCCTCTCTAACATCCTTGAGGCCCCCTTCAGATACTGGAAGGCTGCTCTGAGGTCTCCAAGCAGCTTTCCCTTCTCCAGGCTGAACAGCCCCAATTTTCTCAGCCTGTCTTCATACAGGAGGTGCTCCAGCTCCCTTATTATCCTTACGTCCCTCCTCTGGACTTGTTCTAACAGTTCCATGTCCTTGTTATGTTGAGGACACCAGAACTGCACACAGTACTCTATGTGAGGCCTCACGAGAGCAGAGTAGAGGGGTAGGATCACCTCCTTCGACCTGCTGGTCACACTTCTTTTGATGCAGCCCAGTATACAGCTGGTTTCCTGGGCTATGAGTGCACACTGCCAGATCATGTTCAGTTTCTCATCTGCAAACACCTCCAAGTCCTTCTCTGCAGGGCTGCTCTGAACCACTTATCATCAGACAACTGACTCCAATTTTGTAATAAGCTGTGAATAACTATTGTTTTACTATGTATCAAATTTTTCCTTTTCAAACTAGTTTGCCATCCAGCTTAGTGTTTTCCTATCTATAGCATGTGCCTCTACTTTGTTTAAGTGTTATGAAAGAGAAAACCAAAAGTTTATGAATGTTTGTCCTGGGTTCATCAGTAGCAGTCATTTTTCTCCTTCTTAGTAGCTGGTGCAGCACTGTGGTTTTGACTCTTAGCCTGGCAACAGCACTGATAACACCAGTGGTTTTAGTTGTTGCTAAGTCATGTTTAGTCTGACCAAGGACTTTCTGAGTTTCATACTCCGCCAGGGAGAAGGGGAAGCTGGGGGGAGCAGAGACAGGACATCTGACCCAAACAAACCAAAGAGGTATTCCATACCACAGCATGTCAGTGGCAAACAATGATAGGACAAGGGGTAATGGGTACAAACTGGAACACAAGAGGTTCCACTTAAACTTGAGAAGAAACTTCTCAGTGAGGGTGACGGAACACTGGAACAGGCTGCCCAGGGAGGTTGTGGAGTCTCCTTCCCTGGAGATATTCAAAACCCGCCTGGACATATTCCTGTGTAACATTATCTAGGTGTTCCTGCTCCGGCAGGGGGATTGGACTAGATGATCTTTCGAGGTCCCTTCCAATCTCTAGCATACTGTGATACTGTGATGTCATGCCCAGTGTACAAACTGGGGGCAGTTACCCAGAAGGGCTAGATCGCTGCTTGGGTCTGGCTGGGTATCTGTCAGCGGGTGGTGAGAGGTTGTATTCTCTTTCCTTGTTATTTCCCTTATCATTATTATTATTGGTGGGAGCAGTAGTGGTTTGTGTTATACCTTAGTTACTGGACTGTTCTTATCTCAACCCATGGGAGTTACATTCTTTTGATTCTCCTCCCCATCCCTCCAGGAGCTGGGAGAGGAAGAAGGCAGGGGAGTGAGCTAGTGGCTGTGTGGTTCTGAGTTACTGGCAGGGCCTAAACCACAATGATGTATATATTGCATATACTTTTTCCACTTTCCATTAAAGATTGTTCTTTCTGCCACAGAGGAAATGAAATTGTTTCAACCTGGTTTGTTCTTATAATAGGCCAAAATTATCTGAGTTATTTCATTGCCTCTGGACACTGGAACTTAGATTTTGCATACCTGAGGAGAGACTTTTATGCAGATCACTGCAAATCTTCAGCAATTCTTATAACCTAATTTCCTTTTTTGGTTGCTGTTTAAATACTTAATTTTAATAGTTAGAACAGTAGTTCTTTTTCGTATAATACTCGTGTTGCTCTTGGTGCCTTAATGTGAGACCTTGGAACCTACTGTTTCAATCTCAGTCACATTTCATGTGAATTACAGGTGTATTTGTTTAAAGTAAAGATTTCACTTGACTGGAAGAAAATAAAGCTTTTATTTATAATCATGCCTTTGTGCAGTGGTTTAATGTCATTTAGAACAGGTACGCTGCAATTCTCATTTCCACTGCCGGAATGAGACATACTTGGAAATGAAGATTGTTTATTTTTCCTTCTATTCTACAAAACAAGAAATTCACATTTTTAAAACAACTAAATATACACACAAATATTTTACCCAAAGGCTGTACCTTTGCTGAAGGGAATTGCTTTTACAGTAAATCAGCCAACAAGTTTTCTAGCTTCTTTGTGTAGTCATGAGCTTAGCTATGTCAAGAGGTAAAACTAATTGCCTTGGTACCACAAAGATATGAAACTTTGAAAAACAAATTCTTGCATGTTTCCACTCAGAAAACACATGTGTTTTTAAGAAGGAAAGCCAGAATATCTATGCCTGATTTTTACTAGCTCAATAATGAGCTTGATTTAGTAAAAGCATTGATAATCATACCAAATATACCAAAGTGTAATTGACTAGAACAAACACTTAAATATGAATTAACCCTTTCTCACTTCTTTCTTAGAATATCAGTAAATTTTACCACAATAAATGCATCTCCTACATATGATTGACTGGAAGCAGATTTCTGTATGGTGACAGGAATATCACAGGAATTTTAAACAGAAAAAAAGTTTATTTACGATAGATAGAGGAAGAAAAATTATTATTTTCCTCCATATGTATCCTTCCTGACTGCAATCTGTCTTTTATTAGCTTGTTTTCTGAACACTAAGGTAATGTAGATATGAGCCAGACTTAGCTTAGACTGTCATACAAAAGCCCTAGTCTAGCAAAAAACCCACCAAGCCCCTTATTGTCATATGTATCAGATCAAGTTTAATCCTTCCATCTAAAGCCCACTTCTAGTAGAAATGTCCTATCATGTGCTTACATATAGAAATCTATAGAAATGTCCTACTTTTTTTTTCTTTTCTATATTCATATGTTATTTTCAATAGTTCTGCAGAAGGCATTTAAAATTTAATGGTTTGGTAAGCTTTTTTTGGCAGTGAAAGGGAAAAACAGCAGTGAAAGAAGCACATTATAGAATCATAGAATCACAGAATAGGGTTGGAAAGGACCTTAAGATCATCTAGTTCCAACCCCCTGCCATGGGCAGGGACACCTCACACTAAACCATCTCACTCAAGGCTTTATCCAACCTGGTCTTGAACACTGCCAGGGATGGAGCATTCACAACTTCCCTGGGCACCCTATTCCAGTGCCTCACCACCCTCACAGTAAAGAATTTCTTCCTTATATCCAATCTAAACTTACCCTGTTTAAGTTTTAACCTGTTACCCCTTGTCCTGTCACTACAGTCCCTAATGAAGAGTCCCTTCCCCAGTATCCCTAAAGGCCCCCTTCAGATACTGGAAGGCTGCTATGAGGTCTCCACACAGCCTTCTCTTCTCCAGGCTGAACACCCCCAGCTTTATCAGCCTATCTTCATACAGAAGGTGCTCCAGTCCCCTGATCATCCTCGTGGCCCTCCTCTGGACTTGTTCCAACAGTTCCATGTCCTTTTTATGTTGAGGACACCAGAACTGCACACAATAAT